CAGTCTTAAAGGATTCAGGGAAATCTAGGGATTCAAGAGTTTCAAGTAATTTAACCCAAAGGACCCGTCCTATGACTCACAGTGCTATTTTTTCCCAATTAAGGCCCCAACATTGGCATAGCCAACCTGCCTAAGGTGAGAATTAAACCTTCTCTAGAGATTTATAACTGTTACGATTAATTCCTGGGCCTGGTGCCCAGCTTCTTCTATGTCTGCTGCAAGAGATGAGAATTTGTTTATATCATGACATGGAGGTTGCTGTCTTTACTCTTAGCCTTAGATTAATATTAGGTCATTAAATTTGAAATGTCCAATTTTGAATCTAAAGTTTAGTTTATTATTTCTTAAACAAGAAGTAGTTCAATCATGGAAACTGTGCACCTAAACTATTGACACAGTTTGGCCATCTTAACAGTAGCTTGTTTATGCCAGTGGTGAAGAAGCCTAGAGATTGAGAGGCAATGAAATCATGAAAGACATTTTCCACAGCTTGTTGAGAATTGAATATTTTTCCTTGGAAGAAATAGTCCAAAGCCTGGAATAAGTGGTAGTCAGTTGGTGCAAGATCTGGTGAATACAATGGATGACAGAGTTTCCAAGTCTAGCTGCTTTAGTTTGGGCAACATTGTTTTTTATAATATGTGGTCTTGCAAGAGGATTGGCCTGTCTGAATTGACCAATCTCAGCTGCTTAATAGCAAGCATCTTTATCATTTTGTCCAATTGGTTGCAGTAGACATCTGCTGTAATCAACCGACCAGGTTTCATGAAGCTGTAGTGGATAATAGCAGTGCTAGACCACCAGGCACCATTAGCTTTTTTTTTTTTTTTTAATGAACATTCAGTTTTGGACTATGTTTCAGCACTTCATCCTTATCCAACCATTGTGCCAAACACTTGGAATTGTCAAAAAAAAAATCCATTTTTCACCACACATAACAATAAGTTGTAGAAATGGTTCGCCTTTATGTCATGACAGCAAAGAAAGGCAAACTTCGAGACGATTTCTTTTCTGATGCCCCTTTTAATTTATGCAGAACCCATCTGTCCAGCTTCTCTACCTTGCTGATTTGTTTCAAATGGTCCAGTATTGTTGGAATTTTAATGTCAAACCTTGGTGCTAATTCACATGTAGATTGAGAAGGATTCGCTTCCACTACAAGCTTTCAGCTCATCATTATCTGCCTTGGTCTCAGGTCGCCCATGTAGCTTGTTTTCAAGATTAAAACCACCAGAATGGAACTTCTCAAACCATCAGTGTAATGTGTGTTCATTAGCTGTAAACTTACGGAACGCTTCATAGATATGTTCAGCTGTCTGCGCTGCATTGGTTCTAGGGCAGAATTCATTCAAAAATAACATGCATTTTTGACTTATCTATGGTTTCACAAAAATTGCTCTAAAAAAATATTTGAAAGATAATCACAGGCCACACCATGTGTTTGAAAGAATGGGGATGTACCTTCAAAATTAAAAAAAAAAAAAGTGTCAAAGTGAAATGTCAGAGATATCAACTGTCAAACTTAGTATTAATACTTAAGGAAATTGAACATTTCTTCCTTGATAACCTAGTAATTAATCACTCTTAGCCTTTCTTTGTCTTTCTTTACTATGTCAAGAGGCCTCAGCAACAGTTATTATATTCCATAGCGCTAATCACTTCTTCCCCTGACACTTTCAAATACCTGAGGTATCATATACACTAATTCATTTCCTTCTACTGGAAATGAATTATCCCATCCCAGTCTATCACCAGTGGAAATGTTTTAACAGTTGCATTGCTACAACATACCACAGGCTGTCGGTTTTCTACATGGCATCAGGGATTGAGTCCTCATTGCCAGTCCAACAGAAGATACAGATAAAATATCCTCATTTAGAATCACTGCCTCAGTGTTCCTGGGATGCCAACTTTCTTAGATTAGGTTCTCTGGGCAACAGACTGTGAAAGAGATATATATGCAGAACTTTTGGATTAGCAAGAGGGAGAAGCCAAACTTGAATGTATTTGCAACCGAGGTCTCAACCAATCTCAAGGAAGCTCTGATGCTGGGTGGTCCCTGTATTAAAGCAAGAGGGCCAGTATTTTAAGCTCTGCATTCATTAGTCTTTGGATGTGGACTGCCCCAGGGGAGGGAGAATGACCATTTCCACGGACCTTTCTCAGAGAGTAACTCAGCTGTGAGTGTTTGGCAACTAACACAGCACTCTTGGAAGTTGGAGGAACAAGTGTCTTAGTCCTGAAGTGGGTATCTGTGTGGTGCATCACAGCTATTTCACATCATATCTTTCCATTAATTCTGGGGGTAGACATGGATAGGAGGCTGGAATGCAAGTATTATGGTTGGCGTTACTTTGACGTCAAGTGTATTCAGAAAATGTATACTGTCTAGGATGTTCCTTCCATATTCTTGTCCCTCTTATGTCTCCAAAGACACAGAAGTTTACTCAGAAGATAGTCTCACTAGTTATTTTTTAAAAATCTGTGATGTTTATAAAAATTAGCAGATTGTAGTCCCTGGGTAAAAAAAAAATAGTCTTTATGATCCTTGTAGCATTTTTCTGGGTCTTTGCTTTATAGCTGTATTCAAGGCCTAAACAAAGGCTCTGGGCTGAGTCAGGGGGCAAAATACAAGTAGAACCTAAGCCTTCATCTTAATGTAGTTTTATAGGAGGGAGGGATTACCTTCCTTTGTGACAGGGAGCATTGGATGGATAGACACTGTATATTTTTACCCCTTTATTATAGATGTAAACATTTTCCTATTACCTTCTTAATTGCTTCCTATTATTTCAGTTGCACTGGTGTTTAGACTTGCCATAGATCAAGTGATTAACTGCATCTGTTGTGATTGTTTAATCTCAAATATTCCTTGAGATAAGAGCTGGCTGATGCTAAGCATACTTTAGTTTTCAACCGAGGAGACTTTACATGTATAATTTGGTATTACATAATAAAAAACCAAAACTTATTAAAGAACTGAACCTGATATTTGAATTCTTCATTGGGGCATGTATTATCTTTAATGAAAAATTTAGGTGATGTTCTTGCTATTAGGCTTTTTGAAACAATTTTTTTTTTTTTTATTGATTTACTTAAAAAGAGCCCTGGGATAAAGGAAAAGGATGAAATTTCAGCTCTGTTTAGTGTGACACTAATTTAAGTTTTAGTTATAAATGCCACACCCATTTTGCTTGAATGCCCGGAAACATAAGTAATTGGCTTTCGACCAAGATTTAGAATCAAATGGAGTTCCATTGTGTGAGGAGAATGAGTTGCACTGGATTCAATATTCTAAAAGGGAAAGGAGGAAGGATACTAATTACATAAGCATCTAAGTCCTGGTTTGTTGCTACTCTGTGCAACATTCATTAAAATTTAAAACTGTTACTTCTACTACAAAACAAAGACTTGACTAGAGTTTGACACAATCAGTGAGGAAAGAAGAACAGCTAAGAGGCCACATCAACAGTCAAGTGTAAAAATGTGTGTTGAGGGTTAAGTGAATTTGTGGTTTTTAGTGTAGATAGTTCAATACTGAAATATTTCAGAACCTATGTAAAAATGTTTAATGTTTTGCAGATTTTTTTCCTAAGAGAAGATTATGACTTCAAGTGAACACTGATCAAGGCCTTAAGTAAGAGAGTAGCTCTGGAAGGGAAAAGGAGAAATCCCTATGAATTTCTTTCATAGGGAATGAAAGGAATTGGAAAGTGAGGGACCACAAGATCTAGATACTGGTTAGAAGTATGAGATAAAGGAAAGGAGGCAACAAGGAAGAACTTAAGAGTTCCAGTCTGTAGAACTAAGAGAATGTTGGTTTTGTCAATAAATAATATATGAGGAACCATTGTAGTTCATGGGTGAAGATAAAATTGCAAATATTAAATTTGTGATGTTAATAGTTATTCAGACCAAACTGGTCAACAGACAAATAAGAACTAATGCCCAGAAGAGAAGATAGATGCAGACATATATTAATTTGTTAGTTAGAAGAAAGGGGGGGACAAAGTCCAAGAAAAGGAATAGAGGCCAGCGAAGGACCTTGTTATGTCTTCTTTGTAAAGAAGAAAAACTACTTAAATTGATACCTTATATAATAACATTGTAAACAAAACTCACAGTGGCTCCAGAACTCGACCTAGAAATCAATCAGAAACAAAGGTAGCCACTCCCTCTGTGGCCATCTGGTCTCTCATTTCTGCTTTTGTCCTCCTGTCTGCATTCTTCTCTTTTTCTGAAAATATGTTTTCACTGCCCTACTTTCACAAAGCTCAAACCTGACTGCCCAGGTCACAATTTTATGTCACCTTCTCGTCGAAATGCCTGAAGAGATTTGATGAAAGTCTTCACGTTCCAACTCTGAATTCCCAAGAAAGAGAAACTTACTGGCCCAGTTTTGATCCCATGAACACCCAGATAGACATAGCTATGGTCAGAGAGTAGCTCCAGCAGGCCATGCTCTTATGGAAGTAGAGTGATTTAAAGAAAGCCAAGTGGTTAATGGTTTCAGAAGCAGTGATCGTTTGGGAAAGATTAAGGTTTTATGCAAATATTGTTCATGCCCGATAAAAGAAATTCCAGTAGAGTTTTGGGGCTGGAACTGGATGTCCAGAGGTTGGAGAAGAATGAACTCATAAACAAATAGGGAGAGAAGTCTCCAGTATACTTTCGAAGAGTTAGGTGGGAGGTGCAGTGGCCTGAAGTAACACTCTGAAAGGATGGCTGAAGGTTGTCTTTCATTTGTTTGTTTTTTATTTATAATAGGGAAGATGTGAACAAGTTTATTGTTTAGGTTGGATGGAACCAGTGGAGAAAATGAGACTGACAATGTAATCGAGAGATAATTGCTAGAACATAGTCCTAAAGGTGGTGAGAGGTGATGCAGTCCAGAGTACAGCAGGAGGTGTGAGCCTTGGAAAGGAGGAATTCTTGTACCTTAGAGATGTACAGCAAACGTACAGTACTGAAACAGGAATCTTTCTGCATACTCCTTGTAGTTCTCCCAACTGGATGACGTTGAACCCTTGGACACCTTTAGTCTGATCAAGGAGGTATTTCTGTATCAGAGGATTTCCAAGCAGGATGGAGAGGTGAGGCCTAGCCTTTGTGTTGAGGATTAATGTCCAAAGGACCTTCTGTTTCCTAAACACGCTGTCTTTCTGCTTGAACCCTTAAACTTATATCTTTGTTTGCACGGGTCAACTTTATTTTCTGTGCGTTGCATGCTATGAAATGGCACTAAATGGGGCAACTGAAACAAGACCTAGTTTTAATACAACAGTCAAACCATTTTCTACCATTTCAGGATATTACTTCTCCTGTGCTGTTTCCATTATTAAAGTACATGCTATGTTCGCATTGGCTTACTTACATATTTTTATTGGAGTAAGGTTTACAGTGAAATGCATGTATCTCAAGTTTACAATTTCAAGAATTTTAAAAATGAAAACACTGCCCTAATAAGATATAGAGCATTTCTATTGCCCCCCCAAATTTTTTCATGTCCCCTTCAAGTCAATCCACCCCCTTCATAAATAATATTTTTCAGATTTTTATTATAAATTAGCTTGCTTTGAACTTAATATAAAAGAAAGTATAAAGTTTGTATTCTTGTATCTGGCTTATTTTTCTCAGCATATTTTTTAGATTCACATGTAATAGTGGTTCATTCTTTATTGCCAATTAGTGCTTCATTATTCAAATATACCATAATTTGTATATCCGTTCTCCTCCTGATGGAGTTTTCTTTTATTATTTTTTTGGCTATTATGAAAAAAGCTACCATAAAAATCTTGTACACATTTATTTGAGAAAATATGTCTGTATTACTTAAGAATGCAATTACTGGATCATAGGGTAAGTGTAGGTTTCACTTTATGGGAAATTAACATTTCCTAAAGTGCTTTTATTTTATGCTGTCCTCTGCAATGTATAAAAATTTATAGATGCTTCACATTCTCTCTAGCATTTGGTATAACCAGTCCTTAGATATTTTAGTCATTTTCATCTGTATAAAATGGTATCTCATTTTTACTTTTAACTTTCATTTTCCTTATAATTAATGCTATACAACACAGTTCCATATGTGAACTGCGTCTGTTCATGTCTTTTCCTGTTTTTTATTTATGTTATTTTATCTTTTAATTGTTGATTGTTTTTGAAGTGTTTGTGTGTGTGTGAGAGAGGTATGTATTGCAAAGACAATCTGTGCCTTGCCTTTTTATTTTGTTAGAGGTTTTCGAAGAAAACATGTTTTTAACTTTGGTGAATTCCAAGTTATCAAATTTCTCTTTTATATTTAGTGTTTATTTCTACTTCTAAGAGATTTTTCTATACCTTAATTTTGTGACATTCTTTTATGTTTATTCTAAAACTTTATAGTTTTAGTTCAGCTGAGATTAATTCTGTATATGCAATATAGCCTATTTTTCCCATATGTTTATCAAATTGTTCCATGATCATTTGTTGAAAATATACTTACTGAATTTTTTGCACCTTTGTGAAAGTTAAAGTGATCTATACATGTGTGTTTATTTCTGGACTTTCTTCTCTGTGTTCTAGTGATTTTTTTGTGTTCTCTTATGTCTATTACAAGTACAGTGCAGCTATTAGTAACTTTTGAAATTAAGTAGTATAAATCCTCCAATCTTGTTATTTTTATAGGCTATTTTAACTATTATAGATTCTTTTCATTTCTATATATGTTTTCGTATTTTCTTTCCGAATCCTCAAAAACAAACATGCTGAAATTTTGATTGGGATTCTGTTACATTTATAGATCAATTTAGGGAAAGTTGACATAATATTGATTCTTTCAACTTCTGAACATCTTTTTTTTTTATTTCATTCTTCTTTAGTTTCTTTCAGCAATACTTTATAGTTTTCAGTATAGAGGTCTTGAACATATTTTAGTAAATTTATTTCTAAGAATTTTATGATTTTGGTGTTATTTTAATTAAAATTTTTCAACTTTTAGTTTTCAGATTTTTTTCTGCTAACAGTAAGAAACATAATTGCTTATTGAACATATTTATCTATGTTGAGTTTATGATCTGTGAACTTGTTATATTTACTTTTTTGCTCTAATAGTCATTTTGAAGATTCCTTAAGATTTTCTCATAAATAATCATGTCAACTGTGGAAGGGCAGTTTAACTTTTTCCTTTATGATGCTTATGCTTTTTGTTTCATTGTTTTGCCTTACCAAATCATCTAAATCCTCCAATGTTGAACACAAGTGGTAAGAGTAGGTATATTAGGCTTGATCCCCATCTGGGAGAAAGCATTAAATATTTTACTATTAATTATAAACTTAGTTGTAGGTCTTAACTGTAGATTTGTAGATGTGTATTTTATTAGATTGATGATATTTACTGCTATTTTGCTAAGAAATTTTTATTTGTATAAATGTAAGGGGTACAAATGCAATTTTGTTACTTAGATATATTGTGTGGTCCTGAAGTCTGAGAGTTTAGCCTATCCGTTGCCCATGTACATTGTACCCATTAAGTTACTTAATCACCACCCTTTTCCCACCCCCCACCCTTCTGAGTCTTGAATGTCTGTCATTCTACACTCTATTTGTACACATTATTTAGCTCCCACTTATAAGTGTGACTGTTGAGTATTTGAATTTATGTTTCTAAATTGTTTCACTTAAGAGAATGGCCTGCAGCTCAATCCATGTTGCTGCAAAAAGCAATGATTCCATTCTTTTTTATGGCTAAATAGTATTCCATCATGTATACATACACCTCATTTTCTTTATCCAACCATCCATTGATGGATACTTAAGTTGGTTCCATATCTTTGCTATTGCAAATAGTGCTGTGATAAATATACAAGTGCAGGTATCTTTTTGATATAATGATTTCTTTTCCTTTGGGTAGATACCTAGTAATGGGATTGCTAGATCAAATGGTAGATCTGTTTTTAGTTCTTTGAGAAATCTCCAAACTGTTCTTTTTTTTTAGCATCAAACTGTTTTTTTGTTTGTTTGTTTTTAGCAGTGTACTAATTTACATTCTCACCAACAGTATATAAGCATTTTCTTTTCTCTGCATCCTCACCAACATCTACTATTTTTTGGCTTTTAATAATAGCCATTCTGACTGGTGTAAGATGATATCTCATTGTAGTTTTAATGTGCATTTCTCTTATGATTAGTGATGAGCATTTTTTTATAGTTGCTTGTTGGCCATTTGTCTTTTTTATGTCTGTATGATTTGTACTTATGCCCCTTCTTTCATTTCTGTTATTGGTAATTTGTATTTCTCTTATTAATTAGCTTTTCCTAGGAATTTAATAATTGTAGTGTTCTTTTTATTGATTTTTTTTCTCTTTATTATTTTTTGCTATGTGTTTAATTTACTGTTTTAGTAGCTTCTAAAGGTAAAACTTAGATGATAGATTCTTAGATTATCTAAAGCTATATATTGCTCTTTACATACTACTTTTAGCTGTTTCCCACAAATTTTGATAAGTTGTTTTTTAAATTATCATTCTGTTCAAAATATTTCTATTTTACCTTATGATTCCTTTTTTGACCCATGGGTTATTTAGAAGAATGTTGTTTAACTTCAAAATATTGGTGTTTCAAGATACTTTATTTGCATTACTTTCTAATTGTCCTTTATTTTGGTCACGATATATGTTTTGCAAGATGTCAACCTTTTGAAAATTATTGAGGCTTATTTCAAGGCCCAAGAGACAGTCTGCCTTTGTTAATGGACTATATGCATATGAAAAACATGTGTGTTCTACAGCTTTTGCGTGTAATGAGTACATGATATTTTGACAGAAAAATTAAAGGGCTTCCACTATATATTCCTTATTTCAAAGAAAGGCAAATTGCTTGAGACAGTAATTCTGAGGGAGAAATTATAAATTAGAATAAAGTATTCCTCCTAAAATAGAGTCCCAAAGAATGATCCAAAGACTTCAAGAAATGTCATAAATATATCAGAGGGTCAGGAAAAGCTTGTGGTTATAATAAAAAGAGTCAGTTTCCACAGGCAAGCACCATTGGATTTTAGCTCTATGACCTTCAATAAGTCAACTAAATTTTCCAAACCTTGATCTTCTGGAGATAATGACCCTTCCCCACATGGCTAAGTATTCTAACTATTCTTAGAATCAAGCAAGAGAATATATATGGACATATTTTGAATGCTAAGTCACATAAAACATACATGGTGATGATATTATACCATAATATAGCATAAATCTATAGCTAATTTTAGTCTAAGTGAAAGCAATTTTACATTGTCAAGTGTTTTTAACACTCATAGAATTCATAAGTCAGCATCTTATTCTTCAGAGAGGTCTTAGAAAACCACAGTTAGAAATCAGTCTGAAATTGCCACTAATTATTAAACAGTGTGTTGCTTTTAAGGATCTGCTCTTTGCATTAGAGTGAATTTATAGACAGGTCAAAAGTAATAAAACTAAGCAAAATGAATTAGCAACACCTAGTCATCTACAAAAAATATTTTGTGAAAGATTTTTATTTAGACACCAAGGTACACAGCTCTTTAGACTTCATAAATTAGGCAGAAATATTCCTAATTTCTTATTGTAAATATATTTAATTTTAGCAAAAGATTTTTTGGCTGGAATACTTTATTATATAGGCAATTTTATGTAAATGCAATAACATTTTATACATTTGAACTTTACTCTCTTATATGATAATTCTCTCATCTAGGAGGGTAATATATTTGTATTAAGAACAGGATAACTTCTTTCTCTTCCACCCTAGTAACATTTGGGTTAAGTTCTGTTTGTGGTTGAGCAGGTTAGTAATAGTTCATGACAGGTTTTGATAAATTTATTCAATTTATTTATGAATTTATTACCTTTTTTTCCAGTGGAAAGGAATCAAATAGCTATTAAATATCAGTCACCCTGGTACCTTCAGTTAGTTAAAACAAATGCAAAAATGAGCGATTATATTACCCCATGTTGTATGCTATATTGCATGTAACAGAGTATAGTAAAAGCGTATATATGCTTCAGAGAAGGTTCCATGATGATCAAATGATCCAAACAGAGAGATTGTATTAACTCCTGATGGGCCTTCAGGGAGACTT